CGTACGCATGCGTATCACATGTTTATTTGAAAATATCAGAAATCTTGAGTAATTGTACATTAATATAAAATTACTGAATTTCTTATGTTTAACGAGTTAGCATCTCGTATATGATACAAACTTAACTTTTAACCAAAATATCCACGTAAGATGAACCAAGAGATACGACAATTAAACTATCACTTGTTTCATGTGGTTTCCCTTTGGATCAATTAGTTATTTCTAAAGGCTTTTTATGGTAATACTGAGCTACAATGTATGGAATAGAAATCGAATATTATAGAAACTATTTTGATATTTAGAAATGAGAAGACGGAAGACATATCGTATGAAGAGATCGAATTTAAATGTACAATACCGGAATTTAAAATGCGACATGTTTCAGCATTCAAAAGTGCAAACCTTTGGCATCTAAGTTAATTAACTTTTTTCGTAGATATATATTATATTCCCTGTGTTCCTCCTATGGCGTAAGAGTGCAGAATTAATATCAAATTCTTTACAGAGTCAAGGAAAAAATAAAGAATATCTTTCGAATATATATACTGTATAAACTCCGATGTAAAGTAACACATCACGTTGAGAACACTTCATTCACAAATAGCATATACGAGACATATTTCGAATCGACATAATGAGTCTAATTGTCATTCCTTGATCTCGGCAAAATTCTAGATACGTTAAAGTTGACGCTATGTTATACAAATTTTAACTTATTTCTAAGCAACAATTTCTCTTCATCGGAGAGCTGCGTCTGTAAAAGATACAAATAGAAACACGCCAATTTGCATTTAAATCAAGAAAGAAAAAATTAAAGCATAACACATTATGACAAATAAATATGTGTTACTTATGTTTAATATAGTGTTTCCGTGTACATTATTAGCATCCGACCAAGTACGGTTACTCTCCACCTTCATTATCAGCCTTAGATGGACATCGACATTGTAGTATGTGAGTAGACAATCCCTATCTCAGACGAACACGACACGTTGACGTTTTGGTGTTGTGTAGTACATACTTCATGCTCGCTTTGTTCATTATCTCCGTAACACCAAATAAATGTGTCAGTAGCGCCAGACGCTTCCAACTCCCTCTGGTCCTAAGATTAGCTGTGTAAGTGCTCAACTTCAGGGAGGGGTTGTCCGGAGTCTGATTACCCTATATCCATTATATTCGTTCGCTTTTTTTAGTAACGTTGTTTCAAAGAGTAGCGCTATTTTGTTGGTGGTTTTTATACCAAATTAAAATGAATTCCATGTATACAAATTTGGTTTATTTTAAATATCGTCTTAACCTTTGTACTACAAACAGGATGCTTTAGATGGTCCATTATGTTATTTAAACTCTGTACAGCAGGGAATGTTCTATTCATTATCACTGACTTGGTGTAATATTTTTTTTTAATATTTCAAAATAATTCTGAATTTTTTATTTGAACAACTAAATCATTTCTATTCGGGTTCCGGCTTGAATTTCTATTCCTAACGATAGTGAAGTTCTTCCTGATGATATCTGACTATGAACTATTTGTAATGAAAAGTATTTGCTCTCCTGCTTGTTGCCTTCGGCTGTATACCGTGATATCTTTATTAAGTCTGCTTCAGTTTTGCACAATTACAAAAGAGGCTTTTATGAGCATATCGCAGTCTCGGAAGACACACGCACGCATCATAATCACCTCGCATACATCAGGATGCCGTCCTAAACGGTACTACACTGTACCTGTAAGAATTCAACGTCAAACAAACTAAATTAACATCAAAAGTATTCTTTAATTTCACTTCTTAGATTAACTAACTCAAATTACTGTAAAAACATTTATTTTCATGGGGACTTCATGGATAATTTTAATCCAGGAATTGGTACTTTATCGACATGATAAATAGAGTGAATGTGACATTATTTATAATCCTAGTGGACTTTGAAGAAATCAGGATTTACCAACGAACCCAAGTGCCGACAAATATTTATACTGTTGGAAAACTACGAAAATTGAAGCCCCACGAAAATGTACAATTTAACAGAAAAAGTGAATTAGGACAGACATTTTAATGTAAGCTTTAAAGATATTATCAGATTTTTTTTCATTTTCAAATGTTTTACATAAAATTCTAAATATAGGGTGATGTTTTGGAAATAAATAAGAAATTAATACAAATTTTACAATATATGTTGTTATAGCTTCTTGTTACTCTCTTTGGGTTTTCCATATCCTCTCTGAGGATGTACATGATGGCGAACCATTAACTACTCGGGGCGGTAGTTATGGTAACCGAGAGGTAATTATTATGATTGAACAGCCATTAGTGTATTGACATCTGTGTCCACTCACCGCTTCAGTTTTCGCGTCAACTTGGGAATAACAAAGCGCTGACCATTCGCGTTACTTTGTATTGATATAGAGACGGTTTTGACGCCTATCTCTAGCGGGACTGCACTCCCACGCTAGGCATAAATGATCAGACAACTATTTTGTTTTTCAAAACGATTTCTAAATTCATCTCCTTTACTTTTCTTCCTATCTGTCTTTTTTTTTTTTTTTTTTTTTTTCTCTCATAAGGGATTTCTCTCTAAGTTTTCACTTTCTCTCTTTCCTGTATTGCCCTCCATCACAGCCTCAACTCTCCTAAACCTCGTACATATACTCTCCACTACAATGCAAGTAATATCGATTTTGCTTCTCTTTAAATTGCCTTGATCCCTTTGCGCTTCCCGCTATCACTAGAAATTACCGCGGAATCGTCGTGACAATTTCACAGTTGTCGTCTGCATAATTTGTCCTCTTGGTCAAAATGAATGTACCGTTAACGGCAATTACAGAATGCAAAAATCTTTGGTATATTGCCAAATAGGGAGAGATTCCCTGCGTTTACAACCGTTTAAATGTTTCTCATAAAAGGAAAAGTCGTATAAAAAGCGTCCAGGCTTAACCTGGTAATGTGATTTGGTTTGTAAAGAAATCGATTAATTGCAATTATCTGATTTAGATAAATGCTATCATGTGACCTTGTCTATTAGGACGCTTTCTTCGTGTCACGGAATCGTGAATATTGTTATGGAGCACTCAATATTTTTAACGACGAAAATACTTATCCAAGATGGATGACATGCCGGCAACACTAAGATTTTGTCATTTCCACTCTGTCTTCTATGCCATATATCTTACAATCGAAATTTGCAATTTCCGTTACTCTCTCTCTCTCTCTCTCTCTCTCTCTCTCTCTCTCTCTCTCTCTCTCTCTCTCTTTCTCTCTCTCTCTCTCTCTCTCTCTCTCTCATTTCAGACAGTGATCTTCCTTTCTGTCCTTTTTCACTCTTACAATGACCAATTGGTCCATCGTCCTCTTCTATACAGTATTATATGATAGATCAGGATATCATGCCATGTGTTCCACGATATGACATTGCAGTCTGTTGACACTACACCATATTGCTATTCCTTCCACTACGATACCACTGTATAACCGGAAATAACGTACCATAAATGACATCAAACACGTGACCATTGTAACCTAACGATTTTAAGATAGACCCAGGCACCGTACATTGTCAACATGTCTGTTCTATGTGAAGGATCACACCATCGCTGTTTAATAAAAAGCGTTGCATTATTTGCAGAGAATCTGGATAAAAGCATTAGACCCTCTAGATATGGCTTGATTGTTCATTACGAGAGACAAACGTTTTCCTAGCAACTGTATGCTTGTTCGTTTGATAATGTTTTCCTCAGTCGTCTCCTAGGCTTCAATTCAATGCCCTTAGTATGGCTGACGCTGCTTAGAAGGCCGAAACAGCTGTTTGATGCAACTTAATCCACTGCTTGGTCCTGTGGTATCTTATCCTTAATTTGTACTAAAATAGCTATTAACATGTGCTTGCTTAGGAGAACCATTCAAACTGTATGGTGGATAAAATTGAGGATTCTCATTTACATATAACTATTATGTTGCTCTCTATCGATTCCGAGTGTGACATTTCGTCGTTACTTTTTGATATTATTGATAAAATATGCTTGATGCATATACATAGCAAGCAATACCAAACACTGGTGATATTTGGAAGCGGTATTCCAAATTTTAAAAGAATCACTTCAATTAGCGAAAAAATGTACACCTACATTTCACATCTATATCCCGTGTTTTCATTCGAATAAGGTCTCAGTCTTATGCGTTTTATGTAAAATGATTGAGGTTAGTGAGATTCATCGAGACGAGTCGTGTTCCTCGGCAGACTTCAACAATACAAACAGACATTGGTGCATACATATCCTAGAGTATGACTTTTGTTCGTCATCAATAGATATTTAGAAAGTGGGTCGATTATTGAGCTGTAGACGCCACACAAAAGAATAACACCTTTTTATACAATTTTAGAGTTCGTTACAAAAAGCCAAGCAATGAATTAAACTACATCATACAGCTGTTACATCCTTTTAGAACTCGACAGTAATGCTAAGGGCCTACATTTTGAAAAAAGGAGGCGATTGAAGACAATCCAAAATAATCGAAAGAAAGGTCATGAACTAGATCGGGACTAAACGTCCCCATCCTCCTTATCGTTGTCATGGCAGTCAATCACGTTCAATGAGGTGAAAGTTGATATCTCACAATAAACTGGTTGTATTTCATTAATGTTTTATTGATGCCTGGTATCATGTGATCTAAACGAACGTCATACTATCTTTATAAAATACATGGAAAAACAGGCAGTATGTCTATCAGTAAGGATATTTCATAGTCCCTCAGTTATTCATGCCTGGTATTATGTGATATTAGAAAAGTTTATACTATCTGTATAAAACACAGGAAAAAACTGGCATCATGTCTATCAGTACCGTTATGTCATAGTCCCTCAGTTATTCATGCCTGGTATTATATGTCTTTGAGAAGTTTATACAATCTATATAAAACGTGTTCTGTTTCATTTTTATTCGCTGTTTTATTTTACAGGTCAGAATGATGGGTCAATGATTTTCTGCTTGATGGCAGCACCCGAGAATGCCAATGACGCTACCACTGGACTTCCTGACGCAGATCGATCCCGGTACTCTGACGTCTTTAAATTTTTTTATAAATCACTACATTTCGAAACAAATATGTTCTGGTTTTCTTCAACTCATTCTGAATGTATTATCTTGAGCACTTTTATACCATCATGTACTGAATCGGTAATGTTTGTATTTATTTATGGTATTTTTAATCAGCAAAGTCATGTTTTCAGTGGTGGCTCACACATTAATTGTCATATACATCAAGATTAGAATAATAGCATATTGGGAAGATTGCTATTACATAGCTAGGGGAAAGCAAATTTACATTATCGCGTGTTTTCTTGTTAATGAATCTGAATTATCTAAGACTTGCGGCTCTTCTGCTGAAGTGAAAACAATGCTATCTGCGATTGTGTGAATTTAATGTTACAGCAAAGCTCTATTTCTCTCACGTGTAAAGTGCATGTCAGGTAACTTTATCAAAACGATAATCTGGAAATTTTCATTATTGTAAACCATGGTAGATTGTATATCTTTAGATTATTAAAAAGTGTTATTGGCAACACGGCTAGAATGATTGTTTCTAAATTACATTATGTCAAGCTCAGGATTTCTGTCTTCACTTTATTCGAGCCCTTTAACAGGACAAGACAAGCTACAATGTATAGCTAGGGAAAGCCAATAACATTTGACTACATAATAAAAATCTTCAGTTATCTGGAACAATGATCCTTTTAACGCAACATTTATTGTTATCTATCTCATTTCCAGAGAATGAAATACGATATTTCTAAAATTGAATTGGGACTCTAATTTTTTTTATCAACCAGGTGAAATATATCATTAATTTGATATCAAGACAATTTTCATATTTAGTTCCTACACGCAAAATGTTCTGGTGTCTTACATTAGATCCGATCCCATTTTGGCTGAAGATTATATATTATCGCAGAAGTATATTCGCTATACATATCATATCAAACAAACCCCCCGCCCCGCGCAATATTCATGGTCATATCAATCCAGACGGTTGTAAAGAGCGACACCACAAGAGGAAAATAAAAGATGTATTAGCAAAAAAAAAAAAATTAGAAGAAAGAAAAAAAGATATAAAGATTTTAAGTATCGAAATGTTTGTGGCGGATGTAACCCACGTCTTAAAAACAGAAACAATATATATATATCTGTACACCGACCTTTAAGTTGTAGCATGTAACCTTTAAAACACAAGTGTTAAGTTTGGCTACTTAGAGATAAATTACGACCTACCTGATTAATGTTTACCACTGTTAGTCCTAATGCTATCTCTTCTAACCGAATAAGTAAGAATTCACTTCACTTTATCATTATTTAACCTTTATCCCTTGACCTTTTCAGATTGTCAGAGGATCCTACAAAATTTACCTCAGATACAGTCGGAACTGTGTGACAACGAAAACGACGCGTCACTACTCAGGAAGTTCCTCCGCAACAAAGACCTTCAGCTCACAATGAAGGTATTCACTCCGTGTTACCTAATACTTCTAATTGTTTATGTTACCAAAAACGTTACATATATATCTACATATACAAGCAATGATGTTGAGTGAAGTATTCGAACACACAACTGAACACAAATCCATATAATATTGATATATATCAGTTTGATCGTTAATTAATCCTATATCCGGTACCTATTGTTCAAAAAAGGTGTTCTGCTTACAATTAAAATTATTGGGTGAGAAGTCTCTCTCAGGATAATGTGTCACTATCTTGATGGTGTATATTGTACAATGACGACATAATGATGTATAAAATGGGGTCCCATAAAACCGGACAACCAAGTTGTCCAATGGTATATTTACCGGTGTGAGGATGAAAAGTATTTATCATTTAACCACATTCACGTAACAAGCTATATCACTATTTTCTATTTAACATCTGGATATCCCGTTGCAAGTATGATGTGACCGGACAGGATGTCCTACTGGCCCCTTCGACAGACAGTATGCTTCAGTGTGGTAGCGCTATAAAGTTAGCGCCAGTCCTGAAATACCACACGGAGGTTCACATAAACTTATCGCACTCTCTCAAAAATACATCCACTTAACACAACCCCCTCATCTCGCGAGCACGGACTGGTGATCCTTTAATAATCAAAGCTGTTAGTACGACGTTAAGAAATACCGACCCGATCAGAAAGAATTCCCTCTGATCGTATATGAAGATGTCTTGAAACATAATCACTAGTGTTTTAAATTTCTGAACCTATTCGGAGCTATTTGCGTACTCATACCAGTGTATGTTATTTGCTGTCAATATCTGCCACGCCTTTAAGCTCAAATTTTCTTTCTCGTCTATAAATTGAATACCAGCCAAATACTTGACACTCTCTGCAGCCGTTACCCGTTGCCGTTGGTAATATGTGTCACGTGAATAAATCACAATAACGGTAAGTTTAATGATTTTGAAACTCCGAATGCATCATGAAGGCATCAAGCTTCACTTAAGTCTACAGTCAGAGAGTGCTTTCATTTTAGCGCTCCATCAATCTTTAAAACGCCACTTCAATAGAAAACCATAACTGTGATTTTCCTTTGTGTTACATTCAATGCATTTGTACATATATACGGTTTTATTTGAGTAGATGTACCTGCCATCGATATGGAATTAGTTCATTCCACAACACAATGCTTATCTCGTCAGATTCCTGTAAACCACAGCCTCATCCTGTCATATTTCATTACTGACGGCTTGTGATAAACTCGGCGTCATCACTTCCGAACTTCTACATGCAATCGACGGCTAGAATTCCTATGCTATCCGTTTATAAAGGTCAGACTGTTAACGTCTGGGGCTCTGAACCACAAATTGGTTATCAAAACAAATTGTATTACCACTGCCCTTTAAAATTGATGCATTTAGCATTTTCACTTGAGTGTCTTTTGTATAATCTTTTGTATGCGTGGAACTTAAGTTATACAAGCATATTAGAACCAAACATGTTAGGTTTGAATGCTTTATAGGGAAACATGTGTATAGTACTCCTGAGTGTAATTTAATGTAGTTATTTTTTTTTTTATTTATTTTTTATTATTATTAAGAGAACACTAAGATCTCAACATATTCATAATCCAAACTCAAATTGCATAAACTAGGGCAAAATATGAACAAAAGAATTATTTACACGGAGACAACTGGAAACGTTAAAGGAAAATAGGACCAGTTATTCCGGAGGAGTAAGCGTATTCTGCTTCACCGACGACACCCGCTATGTAAACCTTGGTCAACACAAGTCAGTAACGTCGCGTTCTCAAATGAGAAAAAGGTATACAACCAACAGACAAGCTAACGAGCATTAAACACGTCCAGCTTCGTACCACGTGAAGAAATAGAATATTTCTCAATCAGCTCACTATGGCGACCATAAAACTTCCCCATAATTCCTCAACCTGCATCTATATATCGTTAATTAATTATTTTCTTTTGTAAACAAGAATCTCTTAACAAATGAACTCAAATACTAAACATTGTGAGGCAGACACTAAATGACAATAGTTATTGACAGGGCGTGATAAACATCTGGTTTTATAAGCCTACTTCATAAGCCTACTTCATCTATATTGCAGAATGCACTACAAATACATGATGAAACGATACTTTGTGATAGATCAATGTGTCACGAACGTGGAGTCTGCCATTCTGTTTTTAGTGCGAAGGACCTCGCTAAGTGACTTCAGTTCATATCGCCGTGAATAGGCTGAAGTTAGTTTTGAAATAACACATCTTTGTTTTTCACCGATTTATTAACGGTTATTTGATCAAAATGACTATAGCAAACCAAAATAATTTGACATGCATAAACGCAAATGGATATCATCTAAAAGCACTCACCAAAATTAACGATGAAGTAGTGCAGTAATTCGAGGTAAACTTGGTCAATTATGGAAAAATGAGACTTTATATGATAATGACTTGTAACGGATATTGTCTTCACACTGATAAAATTATAAAGCATACCTGATATAAATACATATATATGGTATGATGCAATTTCAATTATCCTACTACATTTTTTCTCCATTTTTTATTCTTTTGTATTCAATGTTAAAAGAAGATGAGTAATACTTAAAAGAAAAAATATCCTGATAATTCCCATGAATTCCAAGTCACATTTTTTTTTTCATTTTAAGCCTATTTTCTCACCAGCTCGTGCACCGTAGAAATTCCATTATGTGTAATGTGATTACACCACGTTCCCACCATCAGTGCAGGGTTGGGACCCTCAATTCTGGATTCCTCGGGTGACTCATTATTGCTAGAATTGGCAGTAACACGGGAAAACAACATACCATCGAGTTTGATAGCAATATTACAATTCTGTATGGAACCTAAGATCGTAATTCCATTAATATTCGTAACCATGGAAACGCACGATCCAACCAGGCTTTGGATGGTGACAGCTATACAAAGATTCCTCAGAAAGTTATGATTGTGTGGGGGTTAAAGAACGGACATACTGGTTATCGACTCCATCATCTGTGTTTAGAGTGTGTTTTTTTGTGTTATAGTATTGGAAATATCACTGAGTGCCGTTGTGGATTTTAGCTGTGTTTTGATATTTGAAACAAGACGATATGTTGATATATTTATGAAGGTTTGTTTATGATCTCTACTCTGTAATGAAATCTAAGTTAATGATTGGTTTTAGATGTATTCAGCATTGTCAGCTTTATGTATCAGCTTTATGTATATATACAGATATATAATGTGATACTACAGCAGAAACTCTCACCACGTACACTGCAGGTGTGATTTCCATAAAACATTCATATGCCAATCAAATTACATATCTTTGTTGGAACACGTGGAGATTACTGTTTATACGCTGTACAATACACAAGCATGGTTAATTACGCTGTTTGGATAAGGTTTTATACCGGAATATAAAAATACAGAGATGTTGTTAAAATACTTCATGTTCAAAAGCATGAATCAGTATGTATATATAACAGTTTTTATAAAGATTTGAACTAAATAATTATCCTGTGATGTAAATGTTATAAACAGGCTTTCGTAGATTTTTCTAGTCATATCCGTAACTAATCTTAACTATAGATGGACAGTGAAACAAAACTTAAAACAGATAACCGATGATGGAGACATCACATATTTTTAAATTTAGATTTGAAAAACAAAATATAAAACAAAACAAAAAAATCAAGAAATATTTAGTAACCCAGTAATATATTTAATGGAAAATTAATATTTTCATAAGTAGCAATTTGAGATTGCTTATTATCACTTCAGAATATTATTCTGTGTGTTAATTAATCATTCCGGAATTAGCGGTAATGAGACAGCAAGTCAGGCTGCCAAACCGGAAATGAAATTGATCGCCTATTTCTGTCAAATTGCTTAATACAATCCGTTCACATTTGGCGTATTACATGATTTTTCCGTAGGGGATTATCTTATGCTAATACGTGAAACCTGACCTCGCAGTCAGGTGGGAGGCCAAAAGGGGGGAATATATACATTCTTCAAATGCAATCGTTAGCAGGGAGAAAATTCCTTGTATAACTGAGAAAAGTCATTCAAAGTTGAAGAAAAATATGGTTTGTTAATATGAAAATTATTGTCGAACTTTTACATAATTATAAAGTGAATCATATCAAGTGTAGTTTTACCGTTTGTCTATTCAAACGGAACCTGATTATCTGAAGATGGTCTGATACAAAAGATATTAAGATGTAGAAATATTTTTTTGCGAACTTTACCAAAATTTCTGGTATAAAGTTGAAGTACTTTTCAATAAATATGGAGCATTGCAGTGTCAGATAAGATGAGGTGTACAAAGGAATATGTTTTTGTGTGGAGCATGTGCTATTTAAACATACTATATACGTTAAATAAGGATACATGCTGTTGGACGAGTTCCTCTGGAGGTGATGGTTGTAATTCCCTTTTATATTTCGTATCAAATACTTAAAGTGATAAACTAGGAGTATGTCAAGAGTTAATAATTCTATACCAGTTATAACTTCTCTCCAGCCGTGAGAGAAAAATAATGCGGATATATAGTTTTATTTCCCTATGCTCATTCTGACAGATACTAGACACTAATAATACCAATTACTATCACTTATTATGACACCCCCTTATAACAAGCGTCTACTCGGCAGCTTTACAAGTGTAATTAAACCGTCTACCGACGGCCATAAAACGTCACCTCATGCACAGTTTTGTTTCGTTTCAGCATAAGACCGGGTATTGTTTAACATGATACATATTAAGTTGCATAGGTCATGGTCAATGGTTTGTTGATTAGAATACAATAGCGGTCTTGGCTTTAGTCCGTCTCGACGATAGTATTTTGTCAAAACTAAATAACGATCTTTTTGGTTTTTTTTTATGTATTGCAGTTGATTTGAATGTAATAATCTTTTTACACACCTTTTATTTTCGCTTATTTGCAGATGTATAAACGGCTTTGTATCATGAGCCATCGGCGCATGCGCCCGGTGACCCGCTCATCCGTGGCATTAGCAGCTAATGTGAGTATACTTCTTTTTTAGTCAACGATATACAGTTAGTAAGTAAATATTCAAATTATTTCCTTATCAAGAACATGTCTTTATTGATGATTGTATACTAGTGAAAAAAGAAACGCAAATTTGTTTTTGTAATATAACTATTAGACACGGGAACAAAATTTAATTAAATTTTACACTAAGCTACCTCCGTTAATTGTGAAAATGTTCTTCACATACAATTCAGTCATACATACAGGCGATGTACTCTTGCACTATATTTGCTGGTAAATCTTTTAAATTGAACATTGGAACAGTAAAGATCGATGTACAACATTTCGAACTGCCGCAATTGAGTGAAGTCGATAGAGGTAGGGTCATTGCTCTGATAATGCAAGGGCGTTCGCAACGTCATGAAGCCCAGCAATATGGTGTTCATGAGACAAATATATCCCATTTAGTTGGGTGTCTCAGAGGTACAAGAAGATAGTGTGACCGCCCCAGGAGCGGAAGCCCGCGCGTTACGTCGCGGCGTCAAGATAGAGACGTACGTCTTTCGCACCTCCGGGAGTTTCATTTAATGTCACGATATCCCTATGATGGTCTGCCACTTATGCAGAGGGGACGCAAACGTTGAATGCAGGGGCTGCTTGCAGATGCACCTTATCGGTTCCGTTTGGCCATTTGTAGACGCATGTTGTTCAATGACGAGTGTCGCTTCAAGCTTTACAAGTCAGACGGACGACAGCGTGTTTATCGACGTTGTGGTGAGCGATATTCTGACACTTGCGTAACGGAAAGCGACAGATTCTGAGGAGGGTCTGTTATGTATGGTCTGGGATATCTCAAGGCAATGGCAATCTTACAACAGTATCATATCAGGACCAGGTCTTGAGACAATACGTCTCTCCTCTTATCCATCAACGTAACATGGCAGTTAGAGGCTATTGGCTAGGGTTTGCCGTGACTTTCTGGCTCAAAACAACGTCCCAGTTCTTAAGTGGCCACCATACAGATCAGAATTGTCCAAAATCGATCATTTGTGGGACGAGCTGGACAGGAGTGTTAGGAAGCACGTCAACGTCCCATATAACGTCCTTCAACTGACGCAGGCCCTTATTCATGAGTGGATTGATATTCCTCAAAGGACAATCAGCGCCTTGATTGTGTCAATGTTAAGGAGAGTAAGAACAGCGACTAAAGCCAGGGGTGGCACACACGCTACTGATTTGAATCAGAAATGGCGTAGGGTATCCTTGTTTTAACGCTTTTCTCGTGAACACCGTTTGTGATAGGACAATAAAAATCATCAAAATGTATTCAGTAATGCTAAAATAATTGAGAAACCGAAACAGTGAACTAATCATCAATGAATCATGTAAATGAATAACTATAATAACAATAATAATGATATATCTACTTTACCTTATGAACGTTTACACTTTTTCGTGTGAGGCCTATACAAACATTCGAAATGTTTTCTAAACATTAAAGTGACGGTTTTAAACTTTAGGCATTCTGTGACGTTAGACGAGGTTCGGAGAAGGAGGCACGCATCACTAGAGAGCTGCTACAGATCTTGTCGATGCCACATGTACAGGTAAGGCCAATATATAACCTCGTTTTGTGAAGAATAATATCGTCATATGGTGCTTTCCTCCTTCAAATTTAATAACTATATTCAGATCATTGTTGAATGCATGGACACGACTGGGTTGTGCGTCCTTTGATAAAGACATGTCCTTTATCAAGAGTCACAATAGGATGTATTATCTGCCCGTTGGACAGAGATATCCTATCCCTATTTCAGTTAATGATAGTTTGTGTTACAATCTGACGATAATCACCTACCGTATTGAATTTTCTATAGCACATTCAAGTGGCCGATTACACTTTTTAGCAGAAATGCCAGTGTGCTCATTGTCCGTGTTCAGAGACTGTCTGTACGTTATCTTGTCAGCTGAACTGTCTACTGGATTATTACTAAAAAAAACGTATCGATAATTAATTAAAAAGCAAATGAAGTGCAAAGACAAACTAAACCCATGCAAATGACGGCAAAGGAAAAAACTATGAAATGATTATCATTTATACTCAGATAAACTTACCAAGTCTGGTTCACGGGTGACGTATATATCTGTAAACACGTGTGATTTAGGTGGCCTATAAGTTACATAAATGAGGCTGTCACAATGCCGTCGTTTTACATTAAAAGGCAATACACTATAACTCTTGTAAGAATCTATAATCACATCACCTTTACTATTGTTAACATGACTAAAGCCTTGATGATATGTCGAGGTTAGAATATGACATAACAACTGCCTGCAGAAGGGGTATAGTGAAGCCTCATGTAGCCGTTGATAAAGCAATAAGAACGCTTGGTCTTATTCTCCTTGTACTTTTTCATGAACCTCTGTGTAAATCTTTCTATTGTTCATATTTTGCTCCTAGCTTTATTAGAGTTTGGTTCTTATTATGACATCTTGGTATATTCTTGTTTCTTATACATCGTTTAGAGTACGTGGCAGGATTTCTAGACGATAAGACTAAACTATGCCATTTACGACGAGACATTGGGAAAATCTGGAATGCAAATATCTATTGCTTTACAGTACAATATGATTGAATTTTGTTCGCAAACAACGGTCAACATCAATATCGCTTCACTGCTGGACTTTGTAAAAAGGTAATCGGCTCTCGACCTCTTACATTTTCTTCGCTTTCATGACGTCACAGAATATATCCATTTAGTGATGATAAAATCTGGAAATCAATCAAAATCCTGTTCGGATCTGGTTTATTCTCCGACACTATGGAACCGAACATCGTACCACACGTAATATTCATTACAATATAACATATTTCTAGCGTCACAATGCATGTACTCCACGCTATGTTTGCTGCATGCAGCAGGCCTCTGTATACACACAACGTCTCTATTTGATATGAAAGGCAGCAAAATGTTTTAATATGCAACACAATGTGCTGTATTTGTTGTCCGAAACAGACTATCTGTTTGTATGTAAAGAGTTACATGTAGATATAACACTTATCAAACCGATTTATTACAAGTTTCGATCTATATTTATAGATCTTTTTACATTAGTTGCAATTTAAGCACGTTTTGACTATCTTTTCTTAGTTAATATCTCGAATTATTTTTTTTTTTGGTGTCGTAAGCGTGCACGTAATAAAGACAAGTTGTGCGCGTTTCCTCCCGATAAAAAAGACTCGTGTCAATAAACTTGATGAATGCTGTGTAATTTAGGAGTGATCATTGTGGCCGTGAAACATGCTTCCAGTACTGATATGGCTACTCGTTATGCCATCACTCTTACAAAATTACGAAATATTAAGATGAACACAACTTTTCATTGAATAGTCAAACCTTCCACAGCAAAGTATTGAATTGTAGACATGTATATTTCTAGCAAACAAGCTCCCAGACTTCCGTTGTAACCTTGACAAAGCAAAATATCGGGAAAAAACATTCTATAGGGACATAAATTGGGGGCTGTTGAATTCAAGGATTGGTAAGAGACATCGACTGAAGCTATATAATAGGGTGCAGCAGATAGATATTTTCTAGCTTAGCAGTGAATGTTTACTCTGTGACGCATTTCTTGTATATAAAATTATTATTGAATGTGAAATCAATATCACCATCGAACAAAACAGGTGTTACAAGAACGAAAAAGAAGTTTGTGTTAACAAGAAATACAAATCAGTTTTAACTAAAGGCTTATCAACGAAGCACTTGTAAATATGTGTTTAGATATTACGACTTATCGACGGAAGGAAGACACACAACAGATTACTCAAAAAGTCATTATTTAATATTCAATCACAGGGGAAAAGTTCCAAAAATGTAAGACGGGCTGTAAAACGAGCATTTTACGGTCTTCGTAATTATTCAGTGAAATTTATCCTATTTAAAGTGATTTAAAGCTAGACTTTCTCGATAGTTTGTTTGTTGGCTCCGTTGTTGTATGTTGGTATATTGTTGTCTTTGGACTAAACCCATCGGCCTGAATGCATGCTTCCCTTTCAAGTTTGTACTTGGATAATGTTAAACTCTGGGATATATATGATATATGTTAAACAAATATATATGTTTGGATATATATGAGATATGTTAAACATGCTTCCCTTTCAAGTTTGTACTTGGATAATGTTAAACTCTGGGATATATATGATATATGTTAAACACTGGAATATATATGAGATATGTTAAACACTAGGATATATATGAGATATGTTAAACACTGTGGTGTATATGTGAGATATTTTAAACACTATCATATATATAAGATATGTTAAACACTATTATATATATAAGATATGTTAAACACTGTGGTGTATATGAGATATGTTAAACACTGGGATATATATGTGATATGTTAAACACTGGGATATATATGTGAGATATTTTAAACACTATTATATATATAAGATATTTTAAACACTATTATATATATAATATGATATGTTAAACACTGTGGTGTATATGAGATATGTTAAACACTGGGATATATATGTGATATGTTAAACACTGGGATATATATGTGAAACACTGATATTTTAAACACTATTAGATATATATGAGATATGTTAAACACTGGGATATATATGAGATATGTTAAACACTGTGGTGTATATGAGATATGTTAAACACTGGGATATATATGTGATATGTTAAACACTGGGATATATATGAGATATGTTAAACACTGTGGTGTATATGAGATATGTTAAACACTGGGATATATATAAGATATGCTAAAAACTGGGATATAAATGAGATATGTTAATGAGATATATTAATTACTGAGATATATTTGAACGTTCTGTAATATGTTATCATTAGGTTGAAACTACAGACAGAATCTGGTTAATAATTTTATACCTATCTTGTGAGTCACTAAATGATGAATTATGAATGAAAAGAAGTGCTGCAACATATTAACTTTGAATTTTTTATAAATTACTTTCTTAAATTCCAAAACATCAGCACCAGATCAAAGTACCATACAGAATTTATTTAATTTACATTCCGAAGTAAGTACATCCTTAAAGATCATTTTCACCTTTCATGATGTTTTACTTTGAGCGTCATTGTAATGGTAAAACGTTTAATGTGTTGATTCCTTCTAAACTTCATTACAGTGAGAGCAGATAGCTACTTTTGAGGAATAATGTACCATAACAAAGATGGCCATATCTCTGAGATCTGCTCGAGTTGAAGGACTCTTAAGGTTTTCCTAATGTCCGCGTCCGCATAGCTGTAAAATTAGGCACACAATAAAGTATATCAATTAACATTAAATTATAACGATTACAACGTACATGTTCCTTTAAAGAAATGATATTTGACTGTTATGTTGGCATAAGAGTTCCTGAATACATTCCGTACTAAATAAAAACATCGGCAAAATAGTGAGGCCACATAAAAATGGCAAGTGCAAAATATTTTCAAAGTAATTTGAGTATTCCTTTATTTTAACAGCAAGGTATTGGAAGACTCTAAAATAATATCTAAAGATTTCGTTAGTAACTGTATCAACGTTACACCTTACGAAAAAATAATGACCAAGAATGGTAAACCATGTATGACATTATAGAATTATAATTATATTATACATTATCAGAGAAAATATTCCCTAGCTAAATTATGTCTGGGAGATGACTTAAAACAAGAGAAGCATGCGATATAGACAGACAATCTTTCCAGAAAGGGAGTGTCGGGGAAAACAGGATCTTAGTACAAACACGACTTTTAAACACTGTGCCATTACCACTGAATCTGGGAAAAACAGGTTGAATCAATGAAAATTGGATTAGAGAGTGAAACAGCTGGTAAAATATATTAGGAGACACTGATCAAGGTCAGGAACGAACAGGCCAAAGTTGCTCAAGGCTTTGACTGAACCGATGGTTAGCAAAATGTCAACTATATGCTGCTGAAAAGAAAGTGACGCTCAAAAATACCAATCTGATTTGTATCGACCAATCAACCAAATCTGCAGCTGTGATATGACAACAGAATGATTCCAATTCGATTTAATTCATATTTGAAAATTTCCAGTAACCACTGGTTAAGTCTTACCAAGCTTTAAGCAACTGAGGCCCGAGTGGTGGAGCAACAACGACAAGAATTACAATAGCTTGCATCGTAGATGATGTTACAAGGCGAAAATCGCAGTTATGGTCTCGGGGTGTATCACATATATTCAATGAAGTAGAAGAAAATAGTGGGTATTACATGCAAATTCCTCGGTGAGTATATGTGACTGGATATCAACAAATATTTTCCCACAGTCCCATTACAAGGCGACAGCTTTCCAATTCACTGACATTGATATTTCCAGTGTAGTATCATTTCGACAATATCCAGACATGAACAGAATATAATATATCCGAAAAGCTCTATGTCAAATGAAAACTGAATGCGATTCAATATTATGATCTAGAAGCTTATACGACTTTATTCTGTTTGCGTTCAGCTTAAATGAGATTAGAGCAAGGACTGGGCATGATGTGATATTATGGGATGTCATGACTTTGCTGCGTATCATCAGTCTTAAAGTGCCATTGAGTGACTCCGGTATCCGTGAATACCATAATTGCTGTGCGAGGACACAAAACTACAAATAAGCATCACCCCGAAATATTTCTATTCAAATAAAAAAAGTACAAAAAGGACGTCAGCCATTTTGTGTACTTACAAAGTCACGTATTAAGTAGATATAATCTTGAAAACGATGACAGTAAATCTGACAAAAAGTCTGACACGATAATGCAATCTTAAGTAACTTTCAGTTTGATTCTTGTTAGGGTTTATTTAAAACTCGATATTAAAGATACGCAGATAAGGTTTATAAATCATTTTTTTCAGATTCGTTTATGACTAATTTTGCTGTAATGACAAAACTAAAGCTATCAATGTTAAATATGGAAAATCATCAGATTCGTTGCATTGAGTGTTTGTTACAGCATCCCAAATGGCTTTCACTTTTTTTCACTCAGTTTTGATTTTCCTTAGTCACCTACTAAAATTCAATAACTTGGCATCATCCTAGAAAGACGATACATCTGCACGATGCAATTTAATTGTTTAACAACAGTTGATCTCATTCGATTTTCTTTTGACTAATATTTCAACAGTTAAAATGCAATGGTCCTACAAAGGGCGAAAGAGATGAATTCGTATTTTTGCATTTCTCCATTCTGAAATAATACTAATCGTTGCTATACACTTTTGTGTCTTTTGTACGACTCTTCATCAATTCGACTGTTTAATAAAACATTGAATTTTTAAATGAAATTAAAAGGGAGAACTACTGATAACTGAATACAAGATCATACCAAAGTTAGTAATAACAGGTTTGGTTATTATTTGATCAAGTGTGGACGTTGTGTTATTTTTAATTTTTCAAATTGTTAGTAAAACAAATCTTTACTTGTGTAATAGCAAATAATACATACCATTAATATTGATATATCTATAACACGGACGTGATGTGCAAACACTATGATGAATTATTATTGTCACTCCGTGCCGACAAAGTAACCCGGTTAGTTTATAGCGACTGGATTTTTATTCATTCTGCAATAACGTAGTTCATACATGTGAAATCAAATTCCTCACTTTCAAGTTTATGTTTATTTCATATGCATGGTGGTCCCGCATAACAATTATGATACAGATTAAAACGGGAGTGATGTCGAATGCCTTTTTTCTGCCTTTTAAAATCTTTCTTAATGCTTGATCAGCACAGTAATTGTTGTTAATGATGAAAATACCATATTTTCATGAAAGAAAACACAAGGAAGTGAAATATGATAAAGGACAATAAACGCAACGGACAGGTTACAAATAAACAGATAGGTTGATACAGTGATTTCATAAACTAACCAATCATGCTACTGTTTCATATTCGCTGAATCAGTTCCAGTCTACATGGAATGAAGAGAACTTTGAATCAGTAGTCTTATACTTAACATCTAGCCTACATATTACTGCATTTATATCTAAATACATGGTAACTGCTTGGTGGTTTCTAACAGACCAAAGACGAATCGTAGTTCAAAATAATGACTATGTCAAGTTCAACTTCTTACAATAAAGGAAAGTCTCTTGATCCAACAGGTATCTCAATGCACTATTTTTATTTGTTATGATTTTCTTTTGATGATTCATTAAATAAATAGATAAATGGTTCCACAGGGAAATAATACATTGTATACCACTAACACTGATTGTGTTTCATAATACATTTCAAAAGTATATGTATTCTGTCATACCAGAAGAATAAGTGATTAGTCAACGAAAACCAGCAGATATATACATGTTTAAGTTTTTACGTTTCCAGCTTTGCTTTTAATTCACACCATATTAATCCCGATGACCTTGTTGGTTTTGATTGGTCTTAGAAAACTACCCTACACACATAATGAAAACAGTCCTCTTTAGTACTTTTTTTCATGCTAAAGACAACAATTATCTGATGCAATGAAGAAAGTGATAATCATACAGTGTTTTATTGCGCTATTTTACAGGCACTTCTTTACACTCACGATCGTGTGGCAGCAGGAGAGTTTGATCCGGTCGTCGACCAAGAGACATATGACGTAGCCACGGATGAAAAGACACTAAAGATTGTCCATCTGGTCAAGAGCGATGAGCCACTGGTCAGTGTTGATTTTCGTTTTATGTGTTATTTCAGACTTTGATATCATAATATATTTAGAAATCGGTTAAATTGTATAAGTGCATTATAAGATAAAGAAATTGATTTTTGCTGTTTTCGTTATGATTAAAAGAAGCAAACATTAGTGATGTTTCAATCATTTTTCAATTATCATTCTGCTATTTACATAATAATTCAAATATCTCAATAGAAAAAACTAGCAGACATGGGTAACAGTATTTCCATATTTCATCATACATTACGAAGACTTGATATAAAATACATATTTTGATAGAAAAGAGGAAAATACTAGACATGAATTACAAAATGCGTACTATTATTATGTTAAAACATTTTATCTAATAACAAATTGACCAAATAGTCTGTTCAGAGTAAATGTGAATACACAGATGTTATTATATATAAGACAATATCTTAAGTAACAAAATCGAAACTTATAGCAGAAGAAAATTGTTCCTTGTTGGTTTTTAAGTGAAATAAGTTGAAATATAAGCTTCACAAGAATAAAAAAAATGAGCACAGCATTTAAACCTGATTGTGATATTTATGCATTGCTCTGACATAATTTCGCGGCAAGGCAGCTAACATCAATCTTAATTTCGTTTTCGGAATTCAACGTTTTATAATACTTGAGATTAATCATCAGGGACATTGACTTTATTACACTGAAGCGGAATCCTGTCAACTAGTCTAAACTATATTGCAGTTTAAATGCATTATGGCATGTTGTGCACAGATAAACTGGCCATCATTTTCCCGTGAGCATTTTCAATAGCTTTTATAAATGATCATCACGTGAAATACTCGGGAGTGAAAAAAAAACTACAGCGTTTTAAGAGGTCATAAATTTTGACATTTTACAAGTCACTCGATGCTCGTAACGGCTCCTAAATACCGATTACAAAGTATGTTTTTTATTGGAATGTGTACCCTGTTGGCAGTTTACTATGAAGTTCAAAGTTATATCATTTTTATTCACTGTATAATGGAATACTAAAGGGAGGTAGCGGATTATAAAGGGCTTGTTTAGACGTATTTCCAACTTATATTCCAAGTTAACTGTTATTTTAAGCGAAGCACAGATACATGTAGACAAGTATTTATTGAAGGAAACATACTCTAAGAATATAATTTGATTTCAAAACTACTAAATATTCTTTCAAGAGAAATAACTATTTTAATACTTCCATATCCTTTAAAAATACTATAGAGAAAAATAAATTCCATAAAAAACACAAATTATTGCAGTTGTTCGTTCGTATTTTACCAGGGAGTGACTATTCAGATGAAGGAGGAAACCGGCGCTATAGAAATAGCAAGAATAATGCATGGGGGAGCGGCCCATAGAAGTGGTAAGCGGTAGTCTCTCTCTCTCTCTCTCTCTCTCTCTCTCTCTCTCTCTCTCTCTCTCTTTAAAAAAAGATATCCACATAAACAGGAAGGAACACGAAGTCTTCTAGAGCAGAATGAGAACGCCACAATACCGTAAAGTAACTAATGTCTTGTTAATATTTTTCTTTATAGATGGGACCATTAACATTGTAATGATGTTGCCAACCAAATATGTACAATACAATCCAATGCAAGAGAACATTTACAATAGAGTTTCTGTTGAAGCACTGTCGATACATACATGCGTAAATAGACTGTATTCAATGTCATTAAGAAAATGTGTGTGCGATGAAACTCGATCACCAACAATATGTCTTAAAAGACTTTCGTGTTATACGCGTGAAGACATAATGGAATAGAGAATTTATTAGGGCAGAATGATGAAATAGAATGATGTATCATTCCACTGAAAAGATTTATGTACCACTCAAGCGTGATGTGCTTGTCTATTGGAATGAACACTTACGGTTTCATGTAAGATCAATGTTCTCGTTGTATCGTTGGAGCAGACAGTTTGTAGTGTAAAAGAGGTAACATCTATGGATTTCATTATGCACCGATATGGAAATCTCGGGAACAATGTTTTATCGTAGTATAGGGTGCCTGAGGGTTTATGCAGGAAGAGGTGCCGCTATAAATCACCCTGTAGAATGTTAGCCTACGTAACCTCAATGTATGATCTATGAGTGATGAGTAAGGCGACTCCCCTTACCCGTGATGGTTAGTGTATCTTCAGAGGCACCTCGTACTACACTGAATGACTTTAACGGGTATTCCACATGTTGTTCACTGAGGTACAGCTACTACATGAAGACTCCAAAAAACCTTCACTGTTTATGGGGTGGGAGGGGGGCAACACACGATACAACCAATAGAATTCAAATTGTATAAACCAGTTGTAATTTTTTGTAGAGGATGATACCCACAATAATGTCGCTCTTTCATTATGTCTGACATTTCACATGCTATGGTTATCCTCCTTCAAATACAACGAACACAGGACAGACACTTAATCCAAACTAAAAAAAACTGCCTTTCCTACCGCCCATCTCCTTACCAATGCAATAATTGTTGTCAGTAAAGAAGGCTTCGGGTTATGTTCCTCGACCGAGACATATCAGAGTCTGCATAAATGGTAGGTAATGCTTATGGCTTAACGATCGGCATTGGGGAAGTGCACTGACTGTTTTGCCTGTTGTCAGTATAATGTCACCTGTTGTTGTGTCCTGTTTAGTGCCTTTCCCACAATATTTCAGTCTGGTAACACTATAGCTAATGCAGTCACCTCGCATACATAGGAAGGCTGTCTTTATATGTCAATAGATGTTTGGGGCATTAAACAGCATAAATCAAATTTAACCAGTTTTTCTGATGATACAGGAAAAATACTTAAATGAATGCACATCTTAATCCAATGTCAGATTGTCATTTCTTCAATGGTAATTTTACCATGGTTCTGTTGCTAAAAGAGTAATTTAGTTTAAATAAACACCATCTTTCTAATAACATCTCAATGTCATTGGCACAATCATAATACTATCGTAATTTGTGCATTAGCAATTTCCATTCTTGGTGTTTTTCCAGTTTTCAGGTCCGAACATTGTTATTTTTGGCGATATAACGAAACAAATACTTGAAACAGTTTTTGGCTTTTTTTGGACAATGTACTGCTTTATTTTTCATTAATATTTGACAACGAAAGACCATCACTACTTGATATAATCAACTAACTCATGATGAGTGTACTGCATTTTTTGAAAGCCCCGAGTAACGATGACGAGTCCTAGAAGGGCGAAACAGCTGTATGAATCAGGTTAATTTATTTATTTTTATCTTTGTCTAGTTTTAATTTGCTCTTCACTTTGCGTGACTTGTACACAAACATTAATGCTCAATATGTCATCAGTACAGACTTTCCGCGTAGGCGTCCGCTGCTCCACTGCAATACTTATCGGAAATATCCAATCTGGAAAGACATAAATATGATGACTACATCGCCCAGTCAGCGTTCCGCGGACCAATCGATTTTGATGTAACGATAACCTCTTAATGTTTCTGTTTATTGCGGTATCATTTTCGCGACAATCGAAATTGGGAAGATTAAAAGCAAAGGGTTAGCAACAGATTGCTTGGAAGTGCTTAACAACTAATCCGGAATATCTCAACTCCATGACAATGGTCTATGAAAAAGTTAAATGTTAAATTGATTTTGTTTGCATTGTAGCTTCATTTTCCTAAATAGAACATGTTTGTATACCCCAATATGATTTTCGTCATGAATTTACTAAGCCTATTTCATTTGCAGTTCTTCACAGCGACGATCTGCGTTCTGAGTTATGAGTTAGAAGCGTTCAGATTCGTGTATTAAATAAATTTCAAAAGTTTTGTTTATTATTTGAAAGCTGTCTCATCATTTTACCGTGTTTAGAGAGAAACTACTGATCATCGAATGCCCTTACCGACCGCCCGGTTTAATATTGCTTGTGATGGTAGGCATGGGGAAAATAAGGTGAAAACCAGACTGATTGAAGTCTCGCTATGATCCATGTCATTCAGAAATTGTTGGGTTTTAAATTAAGTGGGAGTGGTGTCATTGAGACGTGAGAAAATTATTTCGTAATTCGGGTGATTATTTTTTAAGCGAGAACAATTGTATCCTAAAACTAGGTCACAGTACGATTTCGTTGATAGGACGTTAAGTGAAAATGGTTTTAATTCAAGAATGAAAGGAATCTACGTTATCGTAATCTTATTCCGTAAATGAGCCTACGGGAATCCATTCATTAAATTACTTGAAATGCAAGTTTATTATACTATTTCTCATATGCTACTACTGCAATCTGCGCTAAACAGATATCCTGATATTTAATAAAGCTATATTTTATGCTGATTAGCAGCTCAAACACCAAAAACAATGAATTCATCCAATATAACGTTACAACACTTTTTATACGTGTTAAGCATGCGTCTCTGTGTTTTGATCAATAGAGGTACGAATTAAAGCAAGGGCGTGAACTTAATAAATGATAATCGACTCAAGACCTCAAACTCATGTACTTTACAATGGTCACGATTCTAGTTTACCGAAAATAGTAAATGCTGGAAAGAAAACATTTGACAGCAACTTATATGTCAATGTATATGCAACAAACATATCATAAAGTAATCATAATAAATCACTGAGTGACATTATGATTTGTCCGTAAGGAACAGGTTTATCTTAATCGATAGGGGAATTTTTTCACATATCATCTAATCAAGAGCCGATTGTATCTTTTAAACACGCATACCAACCCTCTGATAGAGTAACATTTTCTTTCAAACTAATTATCCAGGATCATAAATCCTCGTCTCATTCAATGATAAAGCATTTGGTTTAATTTTTCTCAACTTTGTCAGGCCTTCAGAATTAGAATGATTAGAAAAGAGAGATGCTAATAAGAATATGGCGACCGTGGATACTGTGGTATCACGATGAGATGTCGTAAGCAGGGCACATCAGCATATTAAGTTATTTAGTCGCATTAAAATTAACCAAGTACCAACCGCTTATTAAGTTACTGGTGATTTTAATCTGAATGTGGAGCAAAGTCGAACCAATAACATTTGTCTCATCAATATAATGTGAAAGTACTTATACACTCGCTAAGTTGGGCCTTCGTTCAAGACTATGACCATTAGGAAGTATAACACAAGCATTAGGAGGGAAATTGAGGATGAGGGAATAAAAAATGAACCCGCAACTCATTATTTCATGATGCAGGCTTTGGGAACAGCTTTATCTTACTCTCATTTTCTAACTGCTTGGATCAAATCTAGATAAACAAATTACGAAATAATAAATGAAACTGTTGTCCTTGTACGAGATACGAAGAATAATCAGCTACAATAACACGATTAATTAACACCATGTAAAAAATATGAAGAATAAAATTGATTAAATTTCCAATCGAAATGTTATTAGCACCTTAATTCAACACGCGATTTTTAAATTGGTGTCTTTATATGATTATTTTACCTCCGTAGCTGCTACATTTAGTACCACCATTAGATATTATCATGTTATATCGACTGGGAAACAAACTCGTGTTGGAACAGAATGTTAATTATCGTATTAGCTTAATGATGAACATTAACTCGGGCTCAAAGGAACAAACTACCAGCTTAAAACATCACCTCATCAATGCGGAAAAGAAACTGGTAACTGAACAAGATGTTAGTTAATAGTTTTTCAATTGAATACAAACATTGAAGGAATGATGGTATATTACCTAAACGTGCAAGGCTGAAACACTCATAGTTACCCAGCTTAAAGAAAGACAAGGTCGTCAACAGATTCTATATTGAAAGAGCTATACCATAAGCCAGATTTACAAGATACATGTTCAGCAAGCCACGTTCCTACTTGATTCACTAATTCTAATTCACTGATTGAAAAGATTGTACAAAGGACACACCAACGAATAGCACGTTTCAGAAAAAAATAGAATTATATAATGTAGATCAAAACAGGGAATAAAAGGTATCATACAGCTGTTCCTCTGGAAATCGTCAGTAATCCTTGGTATTTAAACTATAAGAAGTTGACTGAAAAATGGATGACACGAATATCAAAATATAGAGGGGTGTCTCTAACCTCATATATTAATTAGTTTCGTAATTTCAACAAACGACATCAAGTGAGGGATGTTCGTAAGCATTTAATAGTACTGCAGACACTGACATTCCAGTATTAGTATAATTTCCAATATGTCATGATCAGCAGGTTTCCCTTTTAATATCTGCTCATTAGCTTTACCTAATAAATAATAATCAACCCAGAGTTATCGGACGTGATATTTCTGTTTCAGATGTGTCACTGTGTAACTTTCAATTACTAAAAGTAATACCAGTGTTAAGTAGATACTAAAATAGACAGTTCATTACACGGTGGATAAGTTTTATATTTATTCTGTAATAAAACTTAATTAATTTTTCCCTGGAACAACACTCTCACTTTTGAAATGCCAATTCCTTATTTCCTACAGTGAAGTAGAGATGTTGATGTCTTCACGCTGAAATAGTTTATAATCTAACCCATTAACATCATGATTATCATTTCAAAGCAACTTAATGCTCACTTTGACAGTTATTTAAACAAAAATAGAACCTGAACGATGCATTATGTTTGTTACTCCTGATACAGCCCTATAACGATATGTTTCCAACGGACACAAACTGAAAGAACGCTTCCAAAAAAAGGAAGCAAGGAAAATAAAGAAGCCAACACGCAATCACCCTAAATGTTACAATGCAGCAGAAAATCAGTTTTAGTCCCTTAGATGTCGAATATTATTATTATTATTTTAGTTTTTATTTTTCATTTTATTTTACTTTGTTTTATTTATTTATTTATTTTTTTTTTTTTTGCTTTTTCCGGGCAATGGCTTTGCTTAATTTCATCACGTTTCCTATCATTTAAAGTCGACAGAAAAAAAAAGAGAGAAAGGCAGGATCAATGAAACAAAATTTATTTTTATAGCTAGCCAAAATATGATATCATTAAGCATTTGTTTTGCGATTGTTTGGAGTCCTGTATACATTTATGGTAACTCAAGGCCCCAAACAGGACTCCAAACCCGTAAAATCATACTTAAGGCCCCAAGCAGGACGCCCAAACCGTCAAATCATACTGAATGTACCAAGCAGGACACCCAACCCATCAAATCATACTGAAGGCACCAGGCAGGACACCCAACCCGTCAAATCATACTGAAGGCACCAAACAGGACACCAACCCCATCAAATTATACTGAAGGCCACAAACAGGACACCCAACCCGTCAAATCATGCTGAAGGCACCAAACAGGACACCCAACCCGTCAAATCATACTGAAGGCACCAAACAGGACACCCGACTTGTCAAATGTTATTGACAAAGGAAGTTATGGCGCTAAAAAGAATCAAACAAACTTCATAAAAGCGTCAAAATTAATAATGTATTTCAGTCAGCTCATTCAAATCCCGCTGTAAAATGCCGATCAGAAACAGGAATGTGGATTTCTATTACTAAATATGTATGCCTTGGATACACCTAAATACAAGTAGAAAACATCCTTTATGTATTTTGATCTTTCTGCTTCTTGTTAAGTACATTAATTTCTTCCAAAGAATTATTTCCAGATAATAGAAAATAGCACTTTTACTTTACTAGTAAGGTTAAGACAACCAATTAACAAAAAATGCATTCGGTTGATAAAAAGCACTATAAATTATAGATATTTTTATTTCAAACGTTTATCGGTTACATTCAAATCTTTGTGTATAGTTTGAAGCGTATATCATCTGCAGTGCTAGATTTTCTGGATTTCATTTCAATTCCAATGCTTATTGTAGTGGGGTTTTAATAGAAATTCTTCCTTCTATTTCAGGTCTTATTCATGTCGGAGATGAAATTTTTGAAATCAATGGTGTCCATTTCCGCGGAAAGCATCCTGATGAGATGGCTCAAACTCTGGTAAAATTATAAACGATAGACAACATTACGAAAAACATCATTATATAATTATGAATATTTTATATCGTGCATCGTCGTCATTTCATTTGGTGTTGTCTGTGATATAGGTATAATTACTGATTCAAATTATTGGTACATGTATATAAATTTAAAACGAAAAAATTAAAGTCAATGTAAATTCAAACCATGAAGATGGATGTCGTTTATGAAACAAAGGACGCCTACTATTCCGGAACACCTATTCTTATTGTCCTTGTGCTTTTTCAGAAGTCTCCGTGTACATCTTAATTTTTTTTCATTGTTCATATTTTGCCTTAGTTTTATTGAATTTCAGTCTTTTTAATTCAAGTATAACAATAACAAATTCATTTTCAGTCCAAAATTTCGGGTCCCGTCACAATGAAGCTCGGGCCTGCTGAAAATAATGCAGCAAAATTTAGGGCTAGCAAAGTAAGTACAAATTGGTGTTTATTCATCGATCCTGCTAGTGAGCCTATCATTGGTGTTCATGTGTTCTGAATTGGAAAGTTATAGTAATATTTGTTTGATGATAAGCTGTGTATTGGCAAAGTCATCATTGCTAATTAACAAACAATAGTTCGATGTAATTTTAAGTTAGCTTTTAAAACATTTATAACTTCTCTTTGAAGCTAAACTTGCTATTCAGACTTCAATATTGTTGACATTCTTATTTTGCTCTTTCTTATAAAAACAAATGCACAATATCTATTTACTTCTCATAAACAATGCATTGATTTAATTATATTTGAATTATTTGTTGTTTCATTTCTATTATCTTGCGAAGAAAATGGTAAAGAGTTTAATTTTCTTTTTAAGGTTCAAACAGAAAATAGTAATATGCCTGCAAAAATGTACGTCCGTAACATTAGCGTAGAGAGATCGTTAACGGTGCCATTTTAGTGCAACACAGTCATCATTAATGACACATCCTGCACTAGTGATTTATCTTCGAAATGTATTGGCTGTTTGCAAATAATTGGTAGAGTGTATATGTACCCAATTGTTAAGCATTTTGGATAGGATTTTATTGAATAATCCACTTTGATACAATTTACTTATCTCTCAATCAGTATTATGAATCCGTTTTTATTTAAGAAAAGCAAGACCCTATAGTAGAACAATGAAAATTGCCATATGAATTGAGCCTTTGAAAGTTATCAGTGTAAGCAAGAAGATTTATCGTTATACAATGTATTGTTTGGGATGTTATCAGTCATTAAATAATTACTGCATGAAAATTACTTAGACCTTCCTCTCAATCAAATGAAGGTCGCCCTGCTTCCTAGTTGTGTATTGTTCGTATTGTGACTGATTGGAGCTTGACATTTATAGTAAGCATATGCTGTGTCTTTGAGCACTGGGGCTTTGTCTACAATTGTAGGTTTTCCTTCTTGTTAACTACTGCCAATTCCCAGTGTTCTAGGTAAATAACATAAAAGCCGTCAAAACCGCTCGATCATCTCTTGCTTTTGAATAAAAGTCGTTAAGTAAATCGTCACATGGGAATGTGCCAGTTGTGTTAATTTATAGGATAGCAAAACCCAACAACTGAATGGTGAATTTGACATCATTTGGTACTTCTGTATCTACTTCTAAAATTCTGTTGAAAGATGCTATTCACTTCTAAAATTCCTTTGAGAAGTGCTAACCACTTTTCTATCTGATGTTTAACCTTTGATTAAGTTTGCAATTGGTAGACACTATTGGTGGTCTTTTTGTTCCCGATGTTTGCTGTAACATGAATGTCACGTTTTATTTCATTCGAATTGTGGCTCGGTTCAGAATACTCACATGTATTGCATTGGAAAAAAAATCAACATAATGGTTTGTGCAACATCCCCGTGTGGATTTTGACATTTCAATCAATGACATTCCTCAAATGCCTTCTAGGTTTCAATAATCTAAGCTCTTAGTATTATTGACAAATCCAAGAAGAATGAAGTGGCTGTGTGATGCAGTTTACTTCATTATTTAAGCATTTGTTTCATCAGATTCTCCATTTGTATTGAAAGGAGATTTTTGTAGAATCTTCGTACGGTAGGTATATGTTTTTTTTTTACATTGCAGACCCGAGTTAAAGCTCTGTTCTCGTACAATGCCGAGGAGGATACCGTTAACCCATGCGCTGAAGCTGGCCTGTCTTTTGAGAGGGGTGACATTCTTCACATCATATCACAAAGTGACGCCCTCTGGTGGCAGGCCCAAAAGGAAGGGGAGAAAAATCAACGAACTGGTTTGATTCCCTCGTCCATATTACAGGAAAGGTATTATTGTGATGATACATTTTAAATGTTTTACAAGAACTATCACTACCGCATTCCGGGTTAGCTTACCAGTCTATGACAAAGTTCCCAGACATGGCCCTATGTCTGACTTTGAAGATGTGTGGGTATTCGTGGCAGTTAGGCCTTGTTTGTATGGCTTTCGTGACACCTCTCCCACCTACAAACATAGCGAAATATTAGGTCAGCGTTTTGGATCGATATGAGCTTCAACTTCCGCAGTAGCTTGTCTTGAGACTGTTCTATGTTACAAATGAAGCGTCCGATGTTATTAACGGAAGTGGCTCTTAAGGTGAAGAAAGAATAGTGGTCCTTTCTCTTTGTATTTCCCATTAGCTGCTTAGCTTGCAAATTTGTTCTGGTCACAAGTTTCATATTTATATTTACAAACAGATATGTTGCTGTAGCTTGACGTATCTTTTTTCACTTTAAAAGTCATATTTTAAGACGCATTGTTATAACAGTTTTCAAACGCATATTGGAAAAGTCCAGTCTGCATATATTTTTGCAAATGTCATTTATATATATGTTAAATAAACAGTTACCGTTGATAAATCGATACATTGTTTATATCTCCGAATTACTGTGCTGGTTTTATACGAGTCTCTGTAGTTACACATTTTATTATTCAGTGTGTCCTTAAGCATGTAAAGTCGTCACCTATTCGTGTATCTTCATCTTTCTATTCTGTCTTACAGGCGAGAAATGATACGGAAAGCGAATGAAGAGGATGAACAAAACTCCAGAGGATCACGTAGGTACATATATTTTACGACACAGAAAAAACAACAACACTTTTTTATGTTATCTTGATAATCATATTGAAATAAACATATGTACGTAGTTCTTAGTGCATTTGAAGGTCACTTCCTCCAAAATAAAACCACATCCGTTTGGCATAAAGGTCGAAACCGTGGTCACACGAAGTAAATAGTTCAACGATGAGGATAATAAAAAAAATCTGATTCATTTATATGCAAATTCACACTAACGCATGTAACATTACATCAAAAATTGTCAAAAAAACATACACAAATGATCTGTACTTTCACAAAAATGGTTTGAAACTGCATCACATACTTGTTTCGTCCTTAAAAGACTCATCAACCACTGCCAGAGGCCTAAACTTTTGAAACCAAGAAACAATTGAGGAAAATTCAAATTGGCCGAAAAACATTCCAAAAGGCATATTTTAGGTGTACAAACCCAAAATTACATTAATTTCATCATTTTCAATAGTTTGATTATATCTATTTATATATATATATTTTTAGGCTATACAAAAGACACTAGCGCATTTCAATACAATAACATATTGTGTTGAATTTGTTTCGAATCTCTTGAAAGCAATTTAATCCATTCAAAAAAGAAAACCATGTATAAATTAACTTTATGAAAACAAGTGAGAATTGAGAAAAAAACAAAACAAAAAAATAACAAACAGTACTATAACTCTGTGTGTGTTATTTTTAATTACTTCATTGCTCTTGCACAACCAGAATTGTTATGTGTTGTACTAATTGGCATAAATATTATGTTTTATTTAAGGAGCCATAAGTCCGTGTAGAATTAGCCCCAAAATTCCGCGCTCAAAACGAGTTCGGAAGATGATGTACCAAGCAATACTTAATGGAGGTATGTACACACTAATATTCAATCGAGTACAAATGTTAATCATTTTCTGAATTTGTTACAACGCTTGAAATAGTTGACTTAAAATTATTTGAATAAATTTACTTATTATTTGACTAAAGGGGAATCACTCTGTTGACATAGAAATATTAATCAACATTTTCCTAAATAATTTGTGGATAAGCAAGTTTTTGCGCTTATTACAATATGTGCCTCTATCATTAGAGACACCCATCATCAGGTATATACCGTCTTTATAATTTGTACCAATCATTCGTTACTTTTTTAACACTGATAAAAAATTCCCCTCTATCGAAAGAGATCTACTAAGGGAGATAACCCAGATATATTGAAGTCCTGTACTTCTATTATTTTTGCTATCTTATCTGTACTTATATCTATTACTGAGTAGAATCTGAGTATCCAGATATTTACCCACTTAGCAAGAGTGAAATATAAATAAATATGACCTTTATGACTTCAAAATAGAACCTTTAAGAACATCTTGGTATACCAACAGTATTGGACATATGTGCCCCTACAAGGCCGTTTGATATATATCAATGAATGAACGCGTGAATTTATTAAGTGGATGGATGTTTTGATGACTACTTTAATCTAGAGTTTGACCATGGAGAGGTACCGACATACGAAGAGGTTGAACTGTACACCCCTGATCCAAATAGACCTCGACCTCTTGTCCTTGTTGGTAAGTACAGGACACATTTGAAATGCCCGTTATCATAGACTTCTAGCATCATTATAAAACGCGTTCTATCAATAAAATCATAGTATCTTAGTAACAACAAAAAGCTCCGACATAATACAAAATAATACAACAGTACACTTACTTTATGTTGAATGTAACCAGCGTGCTGATGCTCGCTCCATGTGGCGACGTCCAAGAGTGGCTTTTTTTAATGGGGTTATTCCCCTTGACATATAAGTGTAGCGTTAAATGCGCGCGAATATTTTATAAAAAAAATCCCTTTTCTTTACAAGGAAATTATATGTTTAATACTAAACGGGTTCAAGAAAATAATCCGTTCATTATTTATTTCTTTGTTCATTTCCTTAGGTTTCGGCCCTTATTTTCTTTATATCATCTTCCTAATTATATAAAAAACAATGTGTAATGTAAATATAATAAGAAAGTGTGTGTAATTCTGGTGTAAGTGAAATGAATGAAGTAAGAGAGCCTTCCTGCGCGAAGACCTTGCATGTTATATCGGTGTTTCTTTTTCTGGAAATAAAATAATTGTTAAAAAAGGGGGGGGGGCCTACGACATCAATTTGATGGTTGTATGTTGTATATAGTATTTCTTTTGTATTGAAATATCTGCTCGACGCAAGTGTAAGTTTGGTTTTTTTATTTAATATGGAAATCTTTAAAATGTTGCAAAAACTTATTTCATTAATTAATTTCTCTCTTAACTCATGAAAATTCCATTTCGGATTTGTCAAACAATGGTATTTGACTAGTAAGCTCATGACATGGGAAACGGTGAAGCCAACAGTTTAGAGGTTACTTGTTCCCATCCTAAACCATCTCCGGGAGCCATGTCGTCATTGTTTTTACCTGTAATTTATATCATCACATTAATTGAATTAACTTATTATTTCTTCGCCAATTATTATGTTTAAGTGCATTATTCAACAACCAATGAAAATGCTTTTTCTTACGGCAGGTGCAACTCATGTGGGCAGGAATGAATTAAAAAGACGCTTGATAGCATCTAACCCATCTCACTTCACCGATATAGTCCCCTGTATGTATGATAATATTGTATGTTTTGTTGGTATAAGTTGCCAAACGATAGATATATATATTACTGAGAACGTTATTGTGTCATTTTCATGTTCTGAGCATGCTTTTCAATCGCATCCGCGTATTCACTCTAATCCACAATACAGCCGCAAGCTGAAGTTTAAATGCAGTTTACTGATTTGTCGAAAAATATAAGTGCATAAACAATCAATGTTTTACTTCCTATATTGAGATAAAACACTAAATAACTTTTTTATTGTATAAGATTTATGCTGTTTTGGTTTACGTGGTGTACAGTCTGACTCATTCAGATCAATACAATTCAAAAACAGATTTGTCACCTGTCAAAATTGAATTCCAGACACGAGCAGAACGCGGAGGCCGTTTGAAGAGGAGGGAAAGGAGTATCACTTTATATCACGACAGGAAATGGAAAGCGGCATTATTGCACAAAGGTATAACAACGACGCGACCTGACTCATACACCGGGATTTAACAACAAAATATATCAATACAAAGGTATAACAACGACACGACCTGACTCATACACCGGGATTTAACAACAAGTCAAATCATGAACAAAGGTATAACAACGACACGACCTGACTCATACACCGGGATTTAACAACAAAATATATCATGAACAAAGGTATAACAACGACACGACCTGACTCATACACCGGGATTTAACAACAAAATATATCATGAACAAAGGTATAACAACGACACGACCTGACTCATACACCGGGATTTAAAAACAAGTCATATCATAAACAAAGGTATAACAACGACACGACCTGACTCATACACCGGGATTTAAAAACAAGTCATATCATGAACAAAGGTATAACAACGACACGACCTGACTCATACACCGGGATTTAACAACAAAATATATCAATACAAAGGTATAACAACGACACGACCTGACTCATACACCGGGATTTAACAACAAAATATATCAATACAAAGGTATAACAACGACACGACCTGACTCATACACCGGGATTTAACAACAAAATATATCATGAACAAAGGTATAACAACGACACGACCTGACTCATACACCGGGATTTAACAACAAAATATATCATGAACAAAGGTATAACAACGACACGACCTGACTCATACACCGGGATTTAAAACAAGTCATATAATGAAGAAAGGTATAACAACGACACGACCTGACTCATACACCGGGATTTAACAACAAAATATATCAATACAAAGGTATAACAACGACACGACCTGACTCATACACCGGGATTTAACAACAAAATATATCATGAACAAAGGTATAACAACGACACGACCTGACTCATACACCGGGATTTAACAACAAAATATATCATGAACAAAGGTATAACAACGACACGACCTGACTCATACACCGGGATTTAACAACAAAATATATCATGAACAAAGGTATAACAACGACACGACCTGACTCATACACCGGGATTTAACAACAAAATATATCATATATAATATATCAAACAAAGGTATAACAACGACACGACCTGACTCATACACCGGGATTTAACAACAAAATATATCATGAACAAAGGTATAACAACGACACGACCTGACTCATACACCGGGATTTAACAACAAAATATATCAATACAAAGGTATAACAACGACACGACCTGACTCATACACCGGGATTTAACAACAAAATATATCATGAACAAAGGTATAACAACGACACGACCTGACTCATACACCGGGATTGACTCATACACCGGGATTTAACAACAAAATATATCAATACAAAGGTATAACAACGACGCGACCTGACTCATACACCGGGATTTAACAACAAAATATATCATGAACAAAGGTATAACAACGACACGACCTGACTCATACACCGGGATTTAACAACAAAATATATCATGAACAAAGGTATAACAACGACACGACCTGACTCATACACCGGGATTTAACAACAAAATATATCATGAACAAAGGTATAACAACGACACGACATGACACATACACCGGGATTTAACAACAAAATATATCATGAACAAAGGTATAACAACGACACGACCTGACTCATACACCGGGATTTAACAACAAAATATATCATGAACAAAGGTATAACAACGATTCATACACCGGGATTTAACAACAAAATATATCATGAACAAAGGTATAACAACGACACGACCTGACTCATACACCGGGATTTAACAACAAAATATATCATGAACAAAGGTATAACAACGACGCGACCTGACTCATACACCGGGATTTAACAACAAAATATATCATGAACAAAGGTATAACAACGACACGACCTGACTCATACACCGGGATTTAACAACAAAATATATCATGAACAAAGGTATAACAACGACACGTCCTGACTCGTACACCGGGATTTAACAACCAAATATATCAATACAAAGGTATAACAATGACACGACCTGACTCATACACCGGGATTTAACAACAAAATATATCATGAACAAAGGTATAACAACGACACGACCTGACTCATACACCGGGATTTAACAACAAAATATATCATGAACAAAGGTATAACAACGACACGACCTGACTCATACACCGGGATTTAACAACAAAATATATCATAAACAAAGGTATAACAACGACACGACCTGACTCATACACCGGGATTTAACAACAAAATATATCATGAACAAAGGTATAACAACGACACGACCTGACTCATACACCGGGATTTAACAACAAAATATATCATGAACAAAGGTATAACAACGACACGACCTGACTCATACACCGGGATTTAACAACAAAATATATCAATACAAAGGTATAACAACGACACGACCTGACTCATACACCGGGATTTAACAACAAAATATATCATGAACAAAGGTATAACAACGACACGACCTGACTCATACACCGGGATTTAACAACAAAATATATCATGAACAAAGGTATAACAACGACACGACCTGACTCATACACCGGGATTTAACAACAAAATATATCATGAACAAAGGTATAACAACGACACGACCTGACTCATACACCGGGATTTAACAACAAAATATATCATGAACAAAGGTATAACAACGACACGACCTGACTCATACACCGGGATTTAACAACAAAATACATCATTACAAAGGTATAACAACGACACGACCTGTCTCAAACACCGGGATTTAACAACAAAATATATCATGACCAAAGGTATAACAACGACACGACCTGACTCATACACCGGGATTTAACAACAAAATATATCATGAACAAAGGTATAACAACGACACGACCTGACTCATACACCGGGATTTAACAACAAAATATATCATGAACAAAGTCAATATGACTCATACACCGGGATTTAACAACAAAATATATCATGGGTATAACAACGACACGACCACTGACTCATACACCGGGATTTAACAACAAAATATATCAATACAAAGGTATAACAACGACCGGGATTTAACAACAAAATATATCATGAACAAAGGTATAACAACGACACGACCTGACTCATACACCGGGATTTAACAACAAAATATATCATGAACAAAGGTATAACAACGACACGACCTGACTCATACACCGGGATTTAACAACAAAATATATCATGAACAAAGGTATAACAACGACACGACCTGACTCATACACCGGGATTTAACAACAAAATATATTTAACAACAAAATATATCAATACAAAGGTATAACAACGACACGACCTGACTCATACACCGGGATTTAACAACAAAATATATCATGAACAAAGGTATAACAACGACACGACCTGACTCATACACCGGGATTTAACAACAAAATATATCATGAACAAAGGTATAACAACGACACGACCTGACTCATACACCGGGATTTAACAACAAGTCATATCATGAACAAAGGTATAACAACGACACGACCTGACTCATACACCGGGATTTAACAACAAAATATATCATGAACAAAGGTATAACAACGACACGACCTGACTCATACACCGGGATTTAACAACAAAATATATCATGAACAAAGGTATAACAACGACACGACCTGACTCATACACCGGGATTTAACAACAAAATATATCATGAACAAAGGTATAACAACGACACGACCTGACTCATACACCGGGATTTAACAACAAAATATATCATGAACAAAGGTATAACAACGACACGACCTGACTCATACACCGGGATTTAACAACAAAATATATCACAAAGGTATAACAACGACGACCTGAAAATATATCATGAACAAAGGTATAACAACGACACGACCTCTCATACACCGGGATTTAACAACAAAATATATCATAACAAAGGTATAACAACGACACGACCTGACTCATACACCGGTATTTAACAACAAAATATATCATGAACAAAGTTATAACAACGACACGACCTGACTCATACACCGGGATTTAACAACAAAATATATCATGAACAAAGGTATAACAACGACACGACCTGACTCATACACCGGGATTTAACAACAAAATATATCAATACAAAGGTATAACAACGACACGACCTGACTCATACACCGGGATTTAACAACAAAATATATCATGAACAAAGGTATAACAACGACACGACCTGACTCATACACCGGGATTTAACAACAAAATCAAATCATGAACAAAGGTATAACAAGGTATACACATTTAACAACAAAATATATCATGAACAAAGGTATAACAACGACACGACCTGACTCATACACCGGGATTTAACAACAAAATATATCATGAACAAAGGTATAACAACGACACGACCTGACTCATACACCGGGATTTAACAACAAAATATATCAATACAAAGGTATAACAACGACACGACCTGACTCATACACCGGGATTTAACAACAAAATATATCATATATAACAACGACACGACCTGACTCATACACCGGGATTTAACAACAAAATATATCAAACAAAGGTATAACAACGACACGACCTGACTCATACACCGGGATTTAACAACAAAATATATCATGATACAAAGGTATAACAACGACACGACCTGACTCATATACCGGGATTTAACAACAAAATATATCATGAACAAAGGTATAACAACGACACGACCTGACTCATACACCGGGATTTAACAACAAAATATATCATGAACAAAGGTATAACAACGACACGACCTGACTCATACACCGGGATTTAACAACAAAATATATCATGAACAAAGGTATAACAACGACACGACCTGACTCATACACCGGGATTTAACAACAAAATATATCAATACAAAGGTATAACAACGACACGACCTGACTCATACACCGGGATTTAACAACAAAATATATCATGAACAAAGGTATAACAACGACACGACCTGACTCATACACCGGGATTTAACAACAAAATATATCATGAACAAAGGTATAACAACGACACGACCTGACTCATACACCGGGATTTAACAACAAAATATATCATGAACAAAGGTATAACAACGACACGACCTGACTCATACACCGGGATTTAACAACAAAATATATCATGAACAAAGGTATAACAACGACACGACCTGACTCATACACCGGGATTTAACAACAAAATATATCATGAACAAAGGTATAACAACGACACGACCTGACTCATACACCGGGATTTAACAACAAAATATATCATGAACAAAGGTATAACAACGACACGACCTGACTCATACACCGGGATTTAACAACAAAATATATCATGAACAAAGGTATAACAACGACACGACCTGACTCATACACCGGGATTTAACAAAAAGTAAAATCATGAACAAAGGTATAACAACGACACGACCTGACTCATACACCGGGATTTAACAACAAAATATATCAATAACAAAGGTATAACAACGACACGACCTGACTCATACACCGGGATTTAACAACAAAATATATCATGAACAAAGGTATAACAACGACACGACCTGACTCATACACCGGGATTTAACAACCAAATATATCAATACAAAGGTATAACAATGACACGACCTGACTCATACACCGGGATTTAACAACAAAATATATCAATTCAAAGGTATAACAACGACACGACCTGACTCATACACCGGGATTTAACAACAAAATATATCATGAACAAAGGTATAACAACGACGCGACCTGACTCATACACCGGGATTTAACAACAAAATAGATATCTAACAAATAAATATTAACTATGAAAAAATTCAGTAAAGGGGGTTGAATAGTACAACAAAGTTCAACAGAAAGGCTATACCATCGACGCTTACTTACTCATTATTTAGAATAGCACACATACACAGACGGAATCACTGTAAATTGTACCAAATGGTCTCCCATGCTAAAGTTTGGTATACTGACAACGGGAACAAATTATATAAAGACAGAAAGCTGATAAACAATGTATAATAATGACAACAAAAACAATCATATACAACTACAGCGATTTCTGATCAGGTGAGCCGTACACACAGAACCTAGACAGTGAAGACGGTGAAGACTTAATTATATAAAACGGTGTCCAAGGATAATATGTTTTCGTCTTTATCGGGAACTTTTCACTCTTTTCCACTGGAAGGAACTTGTATGGATACATACCACTGTAGAGTAATCGCAGTGAATTGATCAATCTAACACCATTCAAGCTAGTCTGTAATTAAATGCTGTAAACGTGAAAATTTCACCTCAGTTTAGCTAAAATCAGTTTGACCTTCATGCGATGGCGAAATGTCCAATGGCAAGTCCAAATATATTTATACGACGGCTAAATGAGTGTTTCGCCGTCCAATTCACCACTCTTGTGCATATGTAAACGCAATAAAGCACTGGATTTCTCACTTACATACAAAGTTACTATGACTTCAGTGTTAATTGGTCGCCCTCCGACACGATCACACCACCACTAAAGGCGATATGTTTACAGGTTTTATCCCAGCGTGACTAATCAGATCGTTTCCATACAATGATGCTTCTGTGTTGTTAGTAGGTATGTGGAACATGGCGAGTATAAAGGGAACCTCTATGGAACACGAACAGAAACGGTTTTATCAGCAATACAAGAAGGAAAAATGTGTATCCTCTGTCCAAGTGTACAGGTGAGTAGTGTCATTGATACTGGTAAATGTATACTGGGGAAATTTCGCCGCATTTAGGCAATTTCATTCGTTTTAACTTCTGATCTGAAATATACAGTTATCAGCGAAAAAAACTCTTGGTCGAACGATTTCCCGTTTACAATATAGACCGATATTTAGGCAATACCAATTCCAATAGAACATCAACATATTAACAAAATCTTAAATATCAAATTCTGAAAAAGGTAGACAATATTGTAACAATAGAAACACAATTTTCACCTTTAGAACAAACTACAGGAAGATTTAACGTCTTCAGCTATTTGAATTCCTAGCTAAAAAATAGTCATTTCAACTGTTATAACAAAAATATACTCAATAACAGTGCATATTAAATTGTATAGATAAATGTTACAAAGTAAAAGTTTCTATCTCTTTAAGATACGGTTTAATGTTCACCCTCCTAGTAATACAGAATTATATGTATATGTTATACATATTGCCGTTTGGTGAAATAACAAAAACATTATAGAAAACTCAGACATGACGTCAAATTTCGATTGGTTTATTTCCAGGCAATAAAATCACTCCGTTCTGCCGAAATCAAGCCTTATATAATTTTTATCAAACCACCCGTCCTGGAGAAGTTGAAGGAGACCCGGCAGAAACAAGCCGCAAGCATAACACTCGAGGATGGAGATACTCGCTTGTGTAGTGTAAGTAAACAGTAGAATTATACTTCATAGTACTGATATTATCTTGAAGTCCTATTAAGCATTAATTTTGTACGAGTACTTAATCAGAAACGTTTGCCAAATATTTCCGCTTCGTTGTACTTGGGACCTTGATATTTTTTTCTTCTTTCGTCCTGTTTCCCGTTAATTTCTATTCGTTTTGACACTAGTTATGTTGTTAGTGATGTTGGCTGTTGAGAGAGCGTTAATCCCAGTGGAGATAAAGGTATACCATGGTGTTGTGATTATGGGTGCGAGATTCTAGAGAGGGGGTAGGAATACATCGCCCCTCTGAGGAAGGCATTTGGTTATGTCCCATGGCTTAGACAAACCAGAGTTTTGATATAGTTAGTTGTTTAAAATGTAAGTTTCTACGCCATGCTTAACGTTCGGCAATGTAATTCAGTGTATGTGGCCGGATGGGATATCCTGCTGGGGGCCTTCGACAGCATATTTCAGTGTGGCAGCACTATAAAAGCAGCTTCGGTTACGCACTATAACAAGGAGGCAGCTTTCAATTACACACACATACGACGTATGCACTCTCCTCGCGTCTGTTATTGACCATAGTTGTTGCTAGGACGTTAACAATATAAGCCTATATATTGGTAATTCAGTTTACTGATAGCTACCAGCATTTCATAAAAATCACCTTCTGGTTTAAATTTACATCTAAAGGTCATGTCTTTTACGTCATAGTCGGCCGATATTGTTTTTCATGGTATGAGTTTGGCATTCACTAAGGTGGAATTACCAACTTTCCGTTTGGTTAGCTTCTTAAATAATGGCAGAACTTTAGAGATAAATCAGTGCTGACTAACCACTCGGTGGATATACCACTGTGATCTCACTAATTTACGAGTTGTTTTATTCTCGTTAAAATCGCGGTTATTCTTAACCCACGAAATCTTGTTCACTGATGGTTAGGATAAATGAAACGTATTTCCTATCGATATGTAAAAATAAAATAGAAGAATGCTTGTATATTCTAAATTTTCTGATTCAAGTTTTATGCTAGGTGATGCATTTAAGAGTTACATGTTCCAGTAATGTCATGTTTAATCCTGCTTTAACTCCTATTATGATAATTTGAAAAGTTCTATCAATGTACTATGAAGCCCGTGGCCAATTCCTGAACAATGCCCTCTGTCGACATTGCGACTACTGTACTAAAACACTCATTGCAGACGTGATTATTTCGAACTGAAATTGGTTTCAGAACTAAATAAAACATATTTATTAGGATTTATGATGTTACAATAAAATTAAAAAAATAAAGTTAAAAAATTATATAAAATCAAGTTTCTGTAGAAGTTGTTACTACCAAGAAGAGGGAAGTACAGTTTCACCTTTTGTCGAAGATGAAAACCAATCTGGAAATGTAGGCACATTGAAATATGAAATATTAAAAGGAAAATATGAACCATCGAGATCAAGAAAATCTTTTTTTAATATATTGGCTCTATACAAAGTTTAAGGAACGTTACCATATTCTCATAATTTGGTTTGACTTAAGAATATATCCTGACACCATTGTTTTAACTATTGTGGAATTAACTATACATTAACATCACTTTCAGAATGAAGACTTTGAAAACCTTATCGAAGCGAGTGACAAAATGGAGGTCAGATATGGCTATCTGTTCGATTGTTCCATAATTAATCAGAACCTTCATCTAGCGACCAACGAACTGTTGAAAGTTGCACACTCTGTGGAAACCGAGGAGACATGGGTCCCAGCATCATGGATTCAATGATAAATACATATTTTGTGATGTTTTTGCAAGCTGTGTTTCTTCTTTTGTTTAACATGGATACGGAAACTGCATTCATGATAAACCAAAACGTACCACAAAACACAACATATCAAATTTATGAATAGCTGAGCTCATCGACATCGTTATTCTAAAATATCACGTCTCCTGTTAGGAAACATCAGTTCCCTTTTAATTACTTGTGGATAATTGAAAAGTGAAAGTACAAAATTTAAATACGACGGTTGGTGAGAGTTTACTTCTGCGATATAATTAATATCGTTTATTACCATTAAAACTAATTGGTTATTATCCAGATGAACAAACATCTATTTCTAAAATAATAGTACAGATTACAAAACAGAAAAAATAATGAGACGCATCATTTTTGACACAAACATGTCTTTCAAGAACCTTGAAATGACGTGAGCCGTTTACAGAGGTTTTATTGGGGTCCGCAATGCACTGTGGGAGAGATTGGCTGTCTACGAGCGGTTTACAGAAATGTAATTTGACTGTAAAGAACGACAACTCTGATTGGTGTATCTTGTGTAATCAATAGCCGTCATAAAAATATATCGTATTCATCTGATGTAAGAAACATGGCTTATATTGATTTAAGGCCAGAAAACTAACATTCTGATCTATCTGGCATCAAAATATGTAGTATTTATCTTATGTCAGAACACTGTGTTAAAACTGTCCAGCGTCAGAAAACTGTATTATTTGATGTCTGAACAGTAAAATTCGTCAGACTTCAGAAACCATATTTTATTGACCTGGGGTTAAAAAAACTAGATCGAATTCAACGGTGTTCATGAATTAAACATCAAACAAAATAAACTGTCGATAGAGACGTTATTGTGTTAGCCTAGTTAACAGATATTTCATATTTGAAAATTTAAAATCATTATCATTTCAAGAAAATTCATACTTTAAAAAACTGTTAGTTTGTAATTGGTTACGATTTGACCTAAATCACACAGAAAACTTGCACAAAACACAACCCCCGACGTCAGATGAAAACTGATTTGACATTTTTGTTTTGGCATTCTGGATATCAAGTGTAAACGATAGACACGGATATTTTACATACAAGGAAATCAAAATTTATTGTTAATGTAAATCACCTTATGCACAAATGATGTATGTATTCTATTCACTCCGTTTTCGAGTTCTTGATGGTTTATACGCTGGATAAAGTCAATACGCGTCTTAAAAATCTTATGATTTCAAGTTTTTTTGTTTTTGTCTTGTTTTTGGGTTTTTTTTCGGAATATTTTGATATCATGACTTTGGCGACAAAATGCATTAGGCAACAGGCATAGCCTTTCAAAGACATCTTCTTGCTATTACAAACAAATATACACATCAGTCAAATAATGAATGAACACAATGATAAACACTAACAGTTTAAGTGATAATAATGTCACTTTATGACTGGGACAAGAATCAGTCCGAAATTCAACATGCATGGAATGCTGCATAGGCAATTGTCCATTCATATTCACCTTCCTTTGCTGAAACCATACAGATAATAATTAGACATAAACCTGACACGACAATGTATGAACCTGATATTTACTTTAAAAAGACGTCTGGTATCAGTATCTCTGAATCAACTCAAGAATGAAATTATTCGTAACTGCATCTAGCTCATGGCAACCATTTAGAAATGTTTGACAGCTTAACGGAACATGGTAGCTCAGGTGAGAAAGATAAGTAAAAAGTAGTTGTCTTTGGTCAGTGAAAAGAGGACAATGAAGAACGAAATGACGTCAATCTTCAACTGAATGACCACAGGTACAAACAGGTCGATTTCATTACAAGAAAATTAAATAAATCGTCGTTTAAGGGGCTAACAGAATTTCTTAATCGACAGAAAGTTATATCGATTTTCCTGTTTCACTGAACTTTTGATGTATTGATGTTCGGCATCTGCAACGGGTTGAAATAAGACATCTTTTTTATATTACACTAATGGACGACATCGTTGGAAACAGACAAGGTGGGTTATTCCATTCAGACATACTTTTTGTGGAAAGCTAGTAAAATGTATTTGAGTTCGTGCTAGTGGCACATTGAAATGTCTATTATGACGAAGAGGATATTGATCAGTATTTTCATTTATTTAAAGTTGAATTGAATCACGTACATGAGCAGAACACATACTGCTAAAAATCTTAAAAAATGAAATAGTTTGATGAAGGTGACGACGTTTTACAAGTAGAATTGTTTTTCTTACTCACGATTTGTCGCTTATTTTAAGTCTGATTTCATGTGTCATCGATTATCATGAGGTCGTATTGTACTTTTTTATCAGGGATAGTTTGATCGACAGCAGTTTATCTTACGCTAAATAGAATATGATTCATATTGCAAGTATCACCTTGTAAATGGTTATTCCAGTCAAGTGAGCTAAGAAAATCATTTGCACCACTAAAACTGGTATTTTAGAAATAGGAAGGATTTTGTATAAGCATTTTTTGCAGGTTTTAAAATTTATTGCCAGCGCTATCAAGGCGGTGGTCACTAAAGGTAGGAGGGAGAACAGAGGCATTGTTAACAAAGATCACATTATGAGTAACCAGGATATCAAGTGGTGAGATAACAAGCGAGGTTGAAAATTGTGGAGTAATCCTTGTTGGTTCAATTATAGTATTTTGTAATCCATATACTATTTGAAAATGAGAATTGAGATTAAGAATTTACATGACTTGATCTATATCCCCCATCAGGATTACTTCCCTTTGTCAAAATATCAAGGTTATTTTCAAGTTTGGACAAATAATCAACCAGTGAGTTTGGAGGTCCGTAGATACAGCCAATACGAACAGTCTCATTATTAGAAGTTCGAGGTCATCATACTCAATGTCAAGTCTTCGATTAATGCTTTGGTCACTCTTAAAATAGATGAGGTCGCCACCATCGCCATAATTACATGTACTTTTGTCCTTCCTAAAAACATCCCTGTAAGTTCAAGTGATATATCATCATCAGTAACAGAACTATTAAGATGGGTCTCTGAAAAACATAAAATACAATAAAAAAAAATTCAGCATCAAGAAGATGTGTTGTGTTTCTTACAGGCCATATATTAACATGACATAAAGAAATATTGTCAATATGGATATTTATGTCATTAATTCATCCGGGATTCGAGTGAATATCCCAACCTAACCTTAATATTAAGACTATCAATTCGTGTAGAATGAAATATCTATTTATGGTAATTACTGTCAGAGGATCAACAGCGATACCACAATAATATATAGAGCCATTTAACATTTTTCATCAAAACCAGAATAGTTTTATCCATGATCATGCATTATGTAAGAGAGTGCAGGTTGTATCCTGATCAAAGTAGAGGAAGTCGTATAAGGAAGAACCCAGTTATTGAACTTTACTACGTAGTTTACTAAGATTGACATGTGCATTTGTTTATAGTCTGTACATGCATTACATTAGTAGAAACATCTGCTATTAATAGCACCTAAACATTATTTACTTAAAGCTAACTGAAACCATACAAATATGAGTTGAAAACATGAAGCAAAAGTGTTGTTTTGTTTGGATGCAATTCACATAAATATATACAACCATGAATCCAGAAACGGCCATAAATCATATGTAACTTGAAAGAAAAGCAGACGACGACAAAAGACGAACCTGTCTCCGCGTGACTATAAATGAAATAACCGACAGATAAGAAAACAATCTAAAGTAGAACGCATATTTTTGATACAAGTTATATTCAAACTAATTTTAGCAAATGTTTGATTGAAGTCAAAACCGAATGTAACCAAGTTATGCCTGATGATGATACTGTGTGAACGGATATAGTGTAGATATAGATTAAGTGTTGAGTTGACAGCTTTAAGTGGGAGGTCCGGTTTAACAAAACGCATGCACGATATCTCAAATAACACATTGTCATTGTGGTATTGTAACAATGTTGTAGGTGAAGTTTCAAGATATACTTACCCATAAACAAACATTTCTTCCTTAATCGATCAACATAGAGACAAATGAACCAACGGTTACTTGCGGTATACATACTGATTAATCAAACATATTCCAGGCCATTTTATATCTGAAATGGAGTTTCACTTGCATCTCCTGTTCTTGGTGGTGGCTTCATTTACATGGTCTTATCAAAGTGTATCTTCTGATGTGGTTGTCAAACCATCGCGGGATGACTGTAAACCATGGATACCTCCAAATTTCAAAAACCTGAAAGAAAATGACACAGTGAAGCTTGATACAAGGACTATACCCTTACCAGAACAAGGCGCACAGGTAGGTGTGTACATAACACACACAAGATGGATCAACTTTGAAGGCTGTACAATCCATCACAATGAAGAATCATGTACTTATACACTAAGTGGAGATACAGATCCTATTGTAGAGTGTTATCAGAAATGCAACCAGACTAAGTTCTCTTTGTTTAATGACAAGTGTTGTTCCTGTAATGTGTTTACATCTAAGACTAATTTCTGTAACGCCAAACATTGTTTTCCTACGTATTTCGGATTATGCGGTCAGTTTTATAATGATTACAACTCAGCCTGTTACTGTCAATATCGTCCTATTGACCTTAATGTACATAGTACCCATGGTAACTGCTTAAAACTATTTCATAGAAGTAACAATGATGTAAGAATCCATTCCGAATATTGTCATACCGATTGGAAATATTTCGGCGCATCAGGAGGAGCTTTTCACGAATATACTACAAAAAAAAACTGGTGGGCAGCAGCCGCAGAGGTTCAAGATGACTTAAGAGCTTTCGCCAATAATTCGTATTTACAAAACAAAATATCTTTAAAAGAAAATCATTATTACTGGGTAGGAACTTTCAGAAAATTTATTTTCGTTACAGAGAGTAAGAAACCAAATGCGAACTCCAATTGTGTGTTGATTAAAATCGAACGGGGATCTGCTCGTGTTCAGATCAGATCATGTAATTCTTCATCCTATAAACTGTGTATAGCCGATGG